GGTCTGTGGTGGCCTGGGGGGGTCCCTTTGGGGTCCTGGGGGGTCTCTATGGGGTCCTCGGAGGGCCTGAATGGGGTCTATAGGGGCCTGGGGGGGTCTCTATGGGGTCTATGGGGTCCTCGAGGGGTCTGAATGGGGTCTATGGGGTCCTCGAGGGGTCTCTATGGGGTCTCTTTGGGGTCTCTATGGGGTCTCTTTGGGGTCTCTATGGGGTCTCTATGGGGTCTCTATGGGGTCTCTATGGGGTCTCTTTGGGGGGGGTCTCTGGGGGGGGTCTCTGGGGGGGTCTCTGGGGGGTCTCTGGGGGGTCTCTGGGGGGGTCTCTGTGGGGTCTCTATGGGGTCTCTATGGGGTCTCTATGGGGTCTCTTTGGGGTCTCTTTGGGGTCTCTATGGGGTCTCTGTGGGGTCTCTGTGGGGTCTCTTTGGGGTCTCTATGGGGTCTCTGTGGGGTCTCTTTGGGGTCTCTTTGGGGTCTCTTTGGGGTCTCTATGGGGTCTCTTTGGGGTCTCTATGGGGTCTCTGTGGGGTCTCTTTGGGGTCTCTATGGGATCTATGGGGGGTCTCTGGGGTCTCTGTGGGGGGGTCTGCCCTGACCCCCCGTGCGCCCCATAGGTACCAGTTCAACCCCGCGTTCTTCCAGAGCGCGGTGACGGCGCAGATCCTGCTCAAGGCGCTCACGAACCTGCCCCACACCGACTTCACCCTCTGCAAGTGCATGATCGACGCCGCCCGCGTATCCGCACCCGCGCCCGCGCCGCGGGCTCAGACCCACTTCCTGTCCCCATCCACTTCCCGTCCCCATCCCATCCACTTCCCATCCACTTCCCGTCCCCATCCACTTCCCGTCCCCATCCCATCCCCATCCCATCCACTTCCCATCCCCATCCCCATCCCATTCACTTCTCATCCCCATCCCATCCCCATCCCATCTCCATCCCCATCCCATCCCCATCCCATTCACTTCCCATCCCCATCCCATGTCCATCCCATCCCATCCCGTCCCCATCCCATCCCCATCCCATCCCCATCCCGGTGTCCATCCTTGTCCCCATCCCATCCCCATCCCATCCCATCCATCCCCATCCCCATCCCATCCCCATCCCCCCCATCCCATCCCCATCCCATCCCCCATCCCATCCCGTCCCCATCCCATCTCCATCCACCTCCCCCCCATCCACTTCCCATCCCCATCCCATCCCATCCACTTCCCATCCACTTCCCTTCCCTTTCCCGTTCCTTTCCCCTTCCCTTCCCCTTCCCCTTCTTTCCCATCTCCTTTTCCCCTCGTTTCCCACCTCTTCCCTGCCCTTCCCATCTCTTCCCATCCTTTCTCATCTCTTCCCGTCCTTTCCCCCCCCTTTCCACCCATGGTTTTCCCATGTTTTCCCATGGTTTTCCCATGTTTTCCCATGGTTTTCCCATGTTTCCACATGTTTTCACATGCTTTCCCATGGTTTTCCCATGTTTTCCCATGGTTTTCCCATGTTTCCACATGTTTTCACATGCTTTCCCATGGTTTTCCCATGTTTTCCCATGGTTTTCCCATGTTTCCACATGTTTTCACATGTTTTCCCATGGTTTTCCCGTGTTTTCCCACAGTTTCTCATATTTTCCCATGTTTTCCCATGGTTTTCCCGTGTTTTCCCAGGTTTTCCCATGTTTTCCCATGGTTTTCCCATGTTTTTCCATGTTTTCCCATAGTTTCCCCATGGTTTTCCCACGTTTCCCCACATTTCCCCACAGTTTTCCATGTTTTTTCCTGTAGTTTTCCCCACGGTTTTCCATGTTTCCCCCCAGTTTTCCATGTTTTCCCACATTTCCCCATGTTTTCCCCTACATTTCCCCCTAGTTTTTCCCCCCAGTTTTCCATGTTTTCCCCACAATTCTCCCCCAGTTTTCCATGTTCCCCCCAGTTTTCCACATTTCCCCCCAGTTTTCCACATTTCCCCCCCAGTTTTCCACGTTTCCCCCCAGTTTTCCACATTTCCCCCAGTTTTCCAGTTTTCCACATTTCCCCCCCAGTTTTCCACGTTTCCCCCCAGTTTTCCACGTTTCCCTCCAATTTTCCACATTTCCCCCAGTTTTCCACATTTCCCCCCAGTTTTCCACATTTCCCCCCAGTTTTCCACGTTTCCCCCCCAGTTTTCCACATTCCCCCCCCAGTTTTCCCCACATTTCCCCCCAGTTTTCCACATTTCCCCCCATTTTTCCATGTTTCCCCCCATTTTTCCATGTTTTCCCCCCATTTTTCCATGTTTTTCCCCCCGTTTTCCCTGACCCCCCCCCAGCAGGACGAGCGCCCCATCCGCCAGATCCTGTACCTGGGGGAGCTGCTGGAGACCTGCCACTTCCAGGCCTTCTGGGTCCGTCCCATTGCACCCCCAATTCCAGCCCCCCAATTCCAGCCCCCCAATTCCAGCCCCCCAATTCCCAGCCCCCCAATTCCCAGCCCCCCAATTCCAGCCCCCCAATCCCAGCCCCCCAATCCCAGCCCCCCACTTCCAGCCCCCCAATCCCAGCCCCCCATCCCAGATCCTGTATCCCAGCCCCCCTGCTGGAGCCCCCACTTCCAGGCCCCCCAATCCCATTGCACCCCCAATTCCCAGCCCCCCAATTCCCAGCGCCCCAATTCCAGCCCCCCAATTCCCAGCCCCCCAATCCCAGCCCCCCAATTCCAGCCCCCCAATCCCAGCCCCCCAATCCCAGCCCCCCAATCCCAGCCCCCCAATTCCAGCCCCCCAATTCCAGCCCCCCAATCCCAGCCCCCCAATTCCCAGCGCCCCAATTCCAGCCCCCCAATTCCAGCCCCCCAATTCCCAGCCCCCCAATTCCCAGCCCCCCAATTCCAGCCCCCCAATCCCAGCCCCCCAATTCCAGCCCCCCAATCCCAGCCCCCCAATCCCAGCCCCCCAATCCCAGCCCCCCACTTCCAGCCCCCCAATCCCAGCCCCCCAATCCCAGCCCCCCAATCCCAGCCCCCCAATCCCAGCCCCCCAATTCCAGCCCCCCAATCCCAGCCCCCCAATCCCAGCCCCCCAATTCCAGCCCCCCAATCCCAGCCCCCCAATCCCAGCCCCCCAATCCAGCCCCCCAATTCCAGACCCCCAATCCCAGCCCCAATCCCAGCCCCCAATCCCAGCCCCCCAATTCCCAGCCCAATCCCAGCCCCCCAATCCCAGCCCCCAATTCCCAGCCCCCCAATCCCAGCCCCCCAATCCCAGCCCCCCAATTCCAGCCCCCCAATCCCAGCCCCCCAATCCCAGCCCCCCAATTCCAGCCCCCCAATCCCAGCCCCCCAATTCCAGCCCCCAATCCCAGCCCCCCAATCCCAGCCCCCCAATCCCAGCCCCCCAATTCCAGCCCCCCAATTCCCAGCCCCCCAATTCCCAACCCCCCAATTCCAGCCCCCCAATTCCCAACCCCCCAATTCCAGCCCCCCAATCCCAGCCCCCCAATTCCCGCCCCCCAATTCCCGCCCCCAATTCCAGCCCCCCAATCCCCGCCCCCAATTCCAGCCCCCCAATTCCAGCCCCCCAATTCCAGCCCCCCAATCCCAGCCCCCCAATTCCAGCCCCCCAATCCCAGCCCCCCAATTCCAGCCCCCCAATCCCAGCCCCCCAATCCCAGCCCCCCAATTCCAGCCCCCCAATTCCAGCCCCCCAATTCCCATCCCGTTCTCCTTCCCCAGCAAGCCCTGGATGAGAACCTGGAGCTGCTGGATGGCATCACCGGCTTCGAGGATTCCGTCCGGAAATGTGAGGGGGTTTGGGGTTAAAAAGGGGGATTTTGGGGTTAAAAAGGGGGGATTTTGGGGTTAAAAAGGGGGATTTTGGGGTTAAAAAGGGGGGGGTTTGGGGTTAAAAAGGGGGATTTTGGGGTTAAAAAGGGGGATTTTGGGGTTAAAAAGGGGGGGTTTGGGGTTAAAAAGGGGGATTTTGGGGTTAAAAAGGGGGATTTTGGGGTTAAAAAGGGGGATTTTGGGGTTAAAAAGGGGGATTTTGGGGTTAAAAAGGGGGGGTTTTAGGGTTAAAAAGGGGGATTTTGGGGTTAAAAGGGGGGATTTTGGGGTTAAAAAGGGAGATTTTGGGGTTAAAAGGGGGGGTTTAGGGGGGGGCACCCCCAAATTTGACACACCCCCCCCCATTATCCACTTGCAGTCATCTGCCACGTGGTGGGCATCACCTATCAGCACATCGACCGCTGGCTCCTGGCTGAGATGTTGGGGGACCTCTCGGGTATGGGGGGCAATGGGGGGATCAATGGGGGTCAATGGAGGGGGGAACAATGGGGGTCAATGTGGGGGGGAACAATGGGGGTCAATGTGGGGGGAACAATGGGGAATAATGGGGGTCAATGGGGGGGGCATCACCTATCAGCACATCGACCGCTGGCTCCTGGCTGAGATGTTGGGGGACCTCTCGGGTATGGGGGGCAATGGGGGGAACAATGGGGGTCAATGTGGGGGGGGAACAATGGGGGTCAATGGAGGGGGGGGAACAATGGGGGTCAATGGGGGGGAACAATGGGGGTCAATGGGGGGGGCATCACCTATCAGCACATCGACCGCTGGCTCCTGGCTGAGATGTTGGGGGACCTCTCGGGTATGGGGGGGCAATGGGGGGAACAATGGGGGTCAATGTGGGGGGGGAACAATGGGGGGGGAACAATGGGGGTCAATGGGGGGGGGGCATCACCTATCAGCACATCGACCGCTGGCTCCTGGCTGAGATGTTGGGGGACCTCTCGGGTATGGGGGGGCAATGGGGGGAACAATGGGGTCAATGTGGGGGGAACAATGGGGGTCAACGGGGGGGTATTTTAGGGGTACCAATGGGGAGGTAATTTAGGGGTAATTGTGGGGGTCAGTGGGGGAGGTACCAATGGGGGCATATCAATGGGGGTCAATTGGGGAGGTATTTTAGGGGTACCAATGGGGTGGCACCAATGGGGGGGTATTTTAGGGGTGTCAGTGGGGGGTATTTTAGGGGTACCAATGGGGGGAACAATGGGGTCCAATGGGTGTCAATGGGGGGGTATTTTAGGGGTACCAATGGGGGGGATATTTTAGGGGTACCAATGGGTGTCAATGGGGGGGTATTTTAGGGGTGTCAATGGGGGGTATTTTAGGGGTACCAATGGGTGTCAATGGCGAGGTATTTTAGGGGTACCAATGGGGGGGTATTTTAGGGGTACCCATGGGTGACAATGGGGGGGTATTTTAGGGGTGTCAATGGGTGTCATGGGTTATTTTAGGGGTACCAATGGGTGTCAATGGGGGGGTGTTTTAGGGGTACCAATGGGTGTCACTGGGGGGGATATTTTAGGGGTACAATGGGTGTCAATGGCGAGGTGATTTTAGGGGTACCAATGGGGTGGCACCACTGGCTGTCAATGGGTGGTTATTTTAGGGGTACCACTGGGTACCAATGGGGGGGTATTTTAGGGGTACCAATGGGGGTGTATTTTAGGGGTACCACTGCGTGTCAATGGCGGGTTATTTTAGGGGTACCAATGGGTGTCAATGGGGGGGTATTTTAGGGGTACCAATGGGTGTCAATGGGGGGGTATTTTAGGGGTACCAATGGGTGACAATGGGGGGGTATTTTAGGGGTACCAATAGGGGGGTACCACTGGCTGTCAATGGGTATTTTAGGGGTACCACTGGGTACCAATGGGGGGGTATTTTAGGGGTACCAATGGGGGTGTATTTTAGGGGTACCACTGCGTGTCAATGCCGGGTTATTTTAGGGGTACCAATGGGTGTCAATGGGGGGGTATTTTAGGGGTACCACTGGCTGTCAGTGGGGGGTATTTTAGGGGTACCAATGGGTGACAATGGGGGGGTATTTTAGGGGTACCAGTGGGGGGTATTTTAGGGGTACCAATGGGGTGGCACCACTGCCTGTCAATGGGGGGTATTTTAGGGGTACCACTGGGTACCAATGGGGGGGTATTTTAGGGGTACCACTACATGTCAATGGCAGGGTATTTTAGGGGTACCAGTGGGTGTCAATGGGGGGGTATTTTAGGGGTACCAATGGGGGGATATTTTAGGGGTACCAATGGGGGGGTATTTTAGGGGTACCAATCGGGTGGCACCACTGCCTGTCAGTGGGGGGTGTAATCAGCATTACCCATAGTCCCCAATGTGTGTGGGACATTTTCACGGTATGAATGAATTGGGGGGGGGGGGGCTATTTTTGGGGTACCCCCCCATATCCCCCTGTGTGTGTGTGTGCCCCCCCTGCCCCATAGAGGCCCAGCTCAAGGTGTGGATGAGCAAGTACGGGTGGTGCGAGGCGGAGCCGGGCCGGGTGCTCATCTGCAACCAGGAGGAGAGCATCAAACCCAAGAACATCGTGGAGAAGATCGACTTCGACAGTGAGATTTTGGGGGGGTTTTGGGGGGGTTTTGGGGTGCCCCCCCCCCTTTCAGACCCACACATCACCCCACATCTCCCCATAGGTGTCTCCAGCATCATGGCGTCGTCCCTGTGATGGGTCAATAAAGGGGAACCCCCCCCCCTGCGCCCCAGGGTTGAGTTGGTTCGGTCCGGGTTAAGGGAGGGGGTGAATGGGGGGGCGTGGGAAAGCCACGCCCCCCTGGTGGGCGGGGCGTAAGGGTGGGGCGTGGGGAGGGGTTTAGTGTGGGGTGTGGGCGGGGATTAGAGGGTGAATGGGCGAATCGGAAGAGAGGGGGCGTGGTTTAGTGGCACGTCAGGGGTGTGGGCGGGGATTGGGAGAGCAAGGAGCGAATCAGAAGAGAGGGGGCGTGGTTTAGTGTCACGTCAGCGTTCCGGGCGGGGCTTAGCAGCCCAAGGAGCGAATCAGAAGCGAGGGGCGTGGCTCGAGTGGGCGGTGCTTCGCGGGCCAAAGTGCGCCTCTGGTGAGTGGGGGGGCGTGGCCTCGTGTCACGTCAGCGTTGAGGGCGGGTCTTAATGTCCCGTTGAGCGAATCAGAAGCGAGGGGCCTGGCTCGTGTGGGCGGGGCTTCTGGGAGGCAACGCGCGCCTCGGGGGGCGTGGCTTCGTGTCACGTCAGCATTGAGGGCGGGGCTTAGTGTGCCGATGAGCGAATCAGAAGCGAGGGGCGTGGCTCGAGTGGGCGGTGCTTCGCTGGCCAACGCGCGCCTCGGGGGGGCGTGGCTTGGTGTCACGTCAGCGTTGAGGGCGGGGCTTAGCGAATCAGAAGCGAGGGGCCTGGGTCGAGTGGGCGGGGCTTCTGGGGGGCAACGCGCGCCTCGGTTAGCGTGGCTTCGTGTCACGTCTGCGTTGCGGGCGGGGCTTAGCAGCCCAAGGAGCGAATCAGAAGCGAGGGGCGTGGCTCGAGTGGGCGGAGCTTCTGCGAGCTAACGCGCGCCTCGGGGCGGGGGGGCGTGGTTTCGTGTCACGTCAGCGTTGCGGGCGGGTCTTGGGGTCCCTATGAGCGAATGAGAAGCGAGGGGCCTGGCTCGAGTGGGCGGGGCTTCGCGGGCCAACGCGCGCCTGGGGGGGCGTGGCTTCGTGTCACGTCAGCGTTGCGGGCGGGGCTTAGCGAATCAGAAGCGAGGGGCGTGGCTCGAGTGGGCGGGGCTTCTGGGGGCCAACGCGCGCCTCGGGGGGGCGTGGCTTGATGTCACGTCAGCATTGAGGGCGGGGCTTAGCGAATCAGAAGCGAGGGGCGTGTCCAACGCGCTCCCCGCGAGGGGCGTGGTTTAGCCCCCCGCGGTGGGCGGTGCTTATCCACACGTCGTGTCGCCATTGGTTGGGGTGAAACCCCCCCCGAGTGGGCGTGGCTTCCCGTGCGTGCGTGCGTGGTGGGCGTGTCCCGCGGTCGCGCGTGCGCAGAGCGGCGGCGGAGCGGGCGCCATCAGCATGGTGGATTACCACCGCGATCGCGACAGGGATCGCGACAGGGCCGGAGATTACATGGCCCAGGAGGAGGACTGGGACCGGGACCTCCTGCTCGACCCCGCCTGGGAGAAGCAGCAGAGGAAGGTCCGGAGCGGGAGGGGGGCTGTGGGGCCTGAGGGGGGCTGTGGGGGCTGAGGGGGGCTGTGAGGGGCTGTGGGGCCTGAGGGGGCCTGTGGGGCCTGAGGGGGGCTGAGGGAGCCTATGTGGGGGTCTATGGGGCCTGAGGGGGGCTGTGGGGCCTGAGGGGGCTGTGGGGCATGAGGGGGGCTGTGGGGCATGAGGGGGGCTGTGGGGGTCTATGGGGCCTGAGGGGGGCTGTGGGGGGCTGTGGGGCATGAGGGGGGCTGTGGGGCCTGAGGAACCTGAGGGGGGCTGTGGGGCCTGAGGGGCCTGAGGGGGTCTGTGGGGCAGGAGGGGCCTGAGGGGGGCTGTGGGGCATGAGGGGGGCTGTGGGGCCTGAGGGGGCTGAGGGAGCCTATGGGGCATGAGGGGGGCTGTGGGGGTCTATGGGGCCTGCGGGGGGCTGTGGGGCATGAGGGGGCTGTGGGGGCTGAGGGTTGCTGTGGGGTGTTAGAGCCTATGGGGGGGATATAGGGCGGCTGTGGGGTGATAGAGGTTATGGGCGGCGGTATAGGCCGGCCATAGGGCGGCTGGGGGGTTCCTAAAGGGAATGGGGAGGGATATAGGGTGATAGAGCCTATGGGGGGGGATATAGGGGGTCTGCGGGGGGATAGAGGTTATGGGGAGGGATATAGGGCGGCCATAGGGAGGCTGGGGGGTGATAGAGCCTATGGGGGAGATATAGGGCTGCTATAGGGTGGCTGGGGGGTGATAGAGCCTGGGGGGGTATAGGGGGTCTATGGGGTGATAGAGGCTATGGGGGGGAGGTATAGGGCGGCTGTGGGGTGATAGAGCCTATGGAGGGTGATATAGGGTGGCTGGGGGGTGATAGAGCCTATGGAGGGGGTATAGGGGGTCTATGGGGTGATAGAGCCTATGGGGGGGAGGTATAGGGGGTCTCTGGGGTGCTAAAGTCAAGGGAGGGGAGCTATAGGGCGGCTGTGGGGTGTTAAAGGGAATGGGGGGGCTATAGGGGGTCTATGGGGGGTCTGTGAGGTGCTGAAGGCAATGGGGGGCTATAGGGGATGTGTGGGGTGTTAAAGGCAATGGGGGGCTATAGGGCGGTGTGGGGTGTTAAAGGCAATGGGGGGGGGATATAGGGGATGTGTGGGGTGTTAAAGGCAATGGGGGGGGGGGCTATAGGGGATGTGTGGGGTGTTAAAGGCAATGGGGGGCTATAGGGGATGTGTGGGGTGTTAAAGGCAATGGGGGGGCTATAGGGGATGTGTGGGGTGTTAAAGGCAATGGGGGGGGGCTATAGGGGATGTGTGGGGTGTTAAAGGCAATGGGGGGCTATAGGGGATGTGTGGGGTGTTAAAGGCAATGGGGGGCTATAGGGGATGTGTGGGGTGTTAAAGGCAATGGGGGGCTATAGGGGATGTGTGGGGTGTTAAAGGCAATGGGGGGCTATAGGGGATGTGTGGGGTGTTAAAGGCAATGGGGGGCTATAGGGGATGTGTGGGGTGTTAAAGGGAATGGGGGGGGGCTATAGGGGATGTGTGGGGTGTTAAAGGCAATGGGGGGGGGGCTATAGGGGATGTGTGGGGTGTTAAAGGCAATGGGGGGGGGTTATAGGGGGTCTGTGGGGTCCTAAAGGCGATGGGGGGGTTATAGGGGGTCTGTGAGGCATTGGAGCCTATGGAGGGGTTCCCCCCCATAGGCACTCATAGGTGTTGGTTATGGGGTGCTCCCCCCATAGGAGTTGGTTATGGGGCTGCCCCCCCCACAGGTGTTGGTTATGGGGCTGCCCCCCACAGGTGTTGGTTATGGGGCTGCCCCCCACAGGTGTTGGTTATGGGGCTGCCCCCCATAGGAGTTGGTTATGGGGTGCTTCTCCCCATAGGAGTTGATTATGGGGTGCTCCCCCCATAGGAGTTGGTTATGCGGTGCTCCCCTTGCAATAAGGGTTGGTTATGGGGCTGCCCCCCATAGGAGTTGGTTATGGGGCTGCCCCCCATAGGAGTTGGTTATGGGGTGCTTCTCCCCATAGGAGTTGGTTATGGGGTGCATAGGAGTTGGTTATGGGGTGCTCCCCCCCATAGAGTTGGTTGTGGGGCTGCCCCCCATAGGAGTTGGTTATGGGGCTGCCCCCCATAGGAGTTGGTTATGGGGCTGCCCCATAGGTGTTGGTTGTGGGGCTGCCCCATAGGTGTTGGTTATGGGGCTGCCCCCCATAGGAGTTGGTTATGGGGCTGCCCCCCATAGGAGTTGGTTGTGGGGCTGCCCCATAGGGAGCCGGGGGGGGGGTGGGGGAGCTGCGGGCGCGGCTCCGCTCCCTGCCCTTGGAATGGGGAAGAGGAGAAAGGGCGGGGGGGGGAGGGGCAGGGCGAAGGGCGGCGTTCCCGGAAACGGGAATTCGGGGGTGGGAATGGCGGGGGGGGAGGGGGGGGAGGGGATCCAATGGGGGGGATCCAATGGGGAGGGGTCAGCAGTGATCCCATGGGAATGGGGTGAGCAGTGATCCCATGGGAATGGGGTCGGCAGTGATCCCATGGGAAGGGGCTGGCAGTGATCCCATGGGAATGGGGTCAGCAGTGATCCCATGGGAATGGGGTCGGCAGTGATCCCATGGGAATGGGGTCGGCAGTGATCCCATGGGAAGGGGTCGGCAGTGATCCCATGGGAATGGGGTGAGCAGTGATCCCATGGGAATGGGGTCGGCAGTGATCCCATGGGAATGGGGTCGGCAGTGATCCCATGGGAATGGGGTCGGCAGTGATCCCATGGGAATGGCGTCGGCAGTGATCCCATGGGAATGGGGCTGGCAGTGATCCCATGGGAATGGCGTCGGCAGTGATCCCATGGGAAGGGGTCAGCAGTGATCCCATGGGAATGGGGTCGGCAGTGATCCCATGGGAATGGGGTCGGCAGTGATCCCATGGGAAGGGGTCGGCAGTGATCCCATGGGAAGGGGTCGGCAGTGATCCCATGGGAATGGGGTCAGCAGTGATCCCATGGGAATGGCGTCGGCAGTGATCCCATGGGAAGGGGTCGGCAGTGATCCCATGGGAAGGGGTCGGCAGTGATCCCATGGGAATGGGGTCAGCAGTGATCCCATGGGAATGGCGTCGGCAGGGATCCCATAGGAAGGGGCTGGCAGTGATCCCATGGGAATGGGGTCGGCAGTGATCCCATGGGAATGGGGTCGGCAGTGATCCCATGGGAATGGGGTCGGCAGTGATCCCATGGGAAGGGGTCAGCAGTGATCCCATGGGAAGGGGTCGGCAGTGATCCCATGGGAATGGGGTCGGCAGTGATCCCATGGGAATGGGGTCGGCAGGGATCCCATAGGAAGGGGTCGGCAGTGATCCCATGGGAAGGGGTCAGCAGTGATCCCATGGGAATGGGGTCGGCAGTGATCCCATGGGAATGGGGTCGGCAGTGATCCCATGGGAATGGGGTCGGCAGTGATCCCATGGGAATGGGGCCGGCAGGGATCCCATGGGAAGGAGTCGGCAGTGATCCCATGGGAATGGGGTCGGCAGTGATCCCATGGGAATGGGGTCGGCAGTGATCCCATGGGAAGGGGCTGGCAGTGATCCCATGGGAATGGGGTCGGCAGTGATCCCATGGGAAGGGGTCGGCAGTGATCCCATGGGAATGGGGTCGGCAGTGATCCCATGGGAATGGGGTCGGCAGTGATCCCATGGGAAGGGGCTGGCAGTGATCCCATGGGAAGGGGTCGGCAGTGATCCCATGGGAAGGGGTCGGCAGTGATCCCATGGGAATGGGGTCGGCAGTGATCCCATGGGAATGGGGTCGGCAGTGATCCCATGGGAAGGGGTCGGCAGTGATCCCATGGGAATGGGGTCGGCAGTGATCCCATGGGAAGGGGTCGGCAGTGATCCCATGGGAATGGGGTCGGCAGTGATCCCATGGGAAGGGGTCAGCAGTGATCCCATGGGAATGGGGTCGGCAGTGATCCCATGGGAAGGGGTCAGGAGTGATCCCATGGGAATGGGGTCGGCAGTGATCCCATGGGAATGGGGTCGGCAGTGATCCCATGGGAATGGGGTCGGCAGTGATCCCATGGGGAGGGGTCGGCAGTGATCCCATAGGAATGGGGTCGGCAGTGATCCCATGGGAATGGGGTCAGCAGTGATCCCATGGGAATGGGGTCGGCAGGGATCCCATAGGAAGGGGCTGGCAGTGATCCCATGGGAAGGGGTCGGCAGTGATCCCATGGGAATGGGGTCGGCAGTGATCCCATGGGAATGGGGTCGGCAGTGATCCCATGGGAATGGGGTCGGCAGTGATCCCATGGGAATGGGGTCGGCAGTGATCCCATGGGAAGGGGTCGGCAGTGATCCCATGGGAAGGGGTCGGCAGTGATCCCATGGGAATGGGGTCGGCAGTGATCCCATGGGAATGGGGTCGGCAGTGATCCCATGGGAATGGGGTCGGCAGTGATCCCATGGGAATGGGGTCGGCAGTGATCCCATGGGAAGGGGTCGGCAGTGATCCCATGGGAATGGGGTCAGCGGGGATCCCATGGGAATGGGGTCGGCAGTGATCCCATGGGAAGGGGTCAGCAGTGATCCCATGGGAATGGGGTCAGCAGTGATCCCATGGGAAGGGGTCAGCAGTGATCCCATGGGAATGGGGTCGGCAGTGATCCCATGGGAATGGGGTCAGCAGTGATCCCATAGGAAGGGGCTGGCAGTGATCCCATGGGAATGGGGTCGGCAGTGATCCCATGGGAATGGGGTCAGCAGTGATCCCATGGGAATGGGGTCGGCAGTGATCCCATGGGAATGGGGTCGGCAGTGATCCCATGGGAATGGGGTCGGCAGTGATCCCATGGGAAGGGGTCAGCAGTGATCCCATGGGAAGGGGTCGGCAGTGATCCCATGGGAATGGGGTCGGCAGTGATCCCATGGGAATGGCGTCGGCAGTGATCCCATGGGAAGGGGTCAGCAGTGATCCCATGGGAATGGGGTCGGCAGTGATCCCATGGGAATGGG